CCAGTAGAACAGTTTTTGAAGTACTCAGATCAGCCCATCTTGCACTAACAACCATGCCACGTTACAATCACTCAAATCCCCTTTCTTCCCCATTCTGATGCTTGGTTTGAACTTCAGCAAGTCATCTTCACTATGTCTAGATGCCTAACTACATTGAATTGCTGCCATGTGATTGGCCGATTAGCAGTTTGTGTTACCAAGCAATTGAACAGGAGTACCTAATAAAGTGGCTGGAGAGGGTGACTACATTATTACATAGCTAAACAAAACATTTCAAAGTGTACAATGCTTTTAAAATGTGCCCGACCCCATTATAATAAATGTGAAATTTGCGAATTGAAGGTTAGACAAACATTGAGTGAATCGCCCATCCTTCAGCCATAACTCAGAAGTTGTTTTCTATGTGCTTGTGAGCAGGGGCGGACTGACAACTCATGGGGCCCCCCGGGCAATAGGGGATTATGGGGCCCCTGTGTCCTTGCCCAAACTCAAAAAAAGCCTATGAAAAAGGTACCAGGGGCATCTCATGGGGCCCCCTACTGACCCCGGGCCCTCGGGCAGCGCCCGAGTTTCCAAAAATGGTCAGTCCGCCCTGCTTGTGAGGCATGGTTTAAATAACCTCCACCCTAAAAAGTACTGTGTGGAGGTAAATATTGTCTCTCTTTATCACATATGTATGCCATCTAATTTTCAGTGTCCAGGAAAAGCAGGTTATTGGAAGATAAATCAGTGCGTGTGGAATATCATGGCGCGCACAGCTGGAGAGAAGGATCGTCGACTGAGGCACTGTATCCTAGCAACCGCGTACAGGAACATACAGGCGGGAACTAATCACACGGGGTCTTACTTTCATCCAATGAGGCCGGCCCTTGCTTCGATGGTTGCCCGGTGTAGGTCACGTGTCCTTGCGATGTGGTTGCGATGGCTATAGGCTCCGCCTCCTCTTCCCTGTTACCGTGGAGCTGCGTCTAAATACACGGCTGAGAGTTGCCTGAGACGTTGCGTCTTACGGGAGGGTTTGGCTGTTGCCGGAGACCGTTATCTACGAGCTGAGGGGACAACTGAAGGGGCGCAGGACGGAGAGCAACAGGGTAGGACTGGTTTGCGGCCCACCTGACAGATGTCAGTCAGAGATGACAGGGGTGCCTGTCATTCATTTAGTCTGCCCAATGTAAACAGTGCCTTTGTCTGATTGTTGGATACAGTAGAGTGCGTCTACATGTCTATGTCTTGTAACACTCCGCATACTTTCTGTCTATAGATTCCTAGCACGTATCTGTGTTTTTAAGCTGTCTGTTTATAGTTTCCTATGATCAAGTTTCTTTAGTCTTTCTGTCTGTCCGGGATTGATCCAGATTTTTAGAATCCGTATTCTAAATCAGAACAGCTTTGTAGCACTAGTGTAATTGTTATGTATGACACGGCATTTGAGGCTTCTGGTCTCGTGGGATGAAAAGGTTATTGTTAAAATCATGCAGAAGTACAGCTATAGCAACCTGTTGTGGAGAGTGATCCCGTACACACAATCAGAAAATTGAATGAAAAAATCACTTTCGGGGGGATCCTACAATAATCTGAAAGTTAGTACACAGCTTTCAGCAGCTGATCACAATTCATGCGACAATATCTGAAGAAACAAGCACAAACATTTTTCTCATACAATAAAAGAGCAAATGATTTTCGTTTTAATCAGTACAGTTTTCGTCTGAAAAAAAAACAAGAGAGCATGCATGCTCAGAAACAAAAGAATACATTACAATACAATACATCTGAAGTTGTAATTTTCATAACTTTAACCTTTTAATTTTTGACATGAGACTAGCATGTAACAAAAAAACAAACAATAAGTCGTCTGATTATCTGTACGTGTGTACTAGGCATAAATGTTTACTTTACTTGAGGTCAGAGCTGAGCTGTCTTGGTGGTGCTAAAAGTGTGTGTATGTATGTATTTTTTTTTTTTTTGTTACAGCAGTGGCAAATTCTGAAAAAAATCCGGTCTCCTGCAAGTTAAAACAGTTCCACCCAAAAGTGGAAGCTCTGCTTGTTTGCCTCCTTCCCCCTCCGTTGCCATATTTTTGCACCTTGGGGAGGGGAGAGCAGGCACCTGGTTTTGACATGTACCTGCTACCACTTCCGGTTCAGTTTGCCGCGGTGACGTGAGCCAGAGGTTCAGCCCCCTCCTGCAGTCTCCAGGTCCCTGAAGACTACCGGACCAATCGGGAGGCACATTCGTGCATGCCTAGCTGGCACCCGGCTGTGAAGCCGCAAGCTGTCACAGCCTGGTGCCCACAGTTGAGATTCCGGCACCAAGGAGAGAAGAGAAGGGACAGCGCAGGTGAGCACATCGCTGGACCCTGGGACAGGTAAGTGTGTGTTTATAAAAAGTCAGCAGGTACAGTTTTTGTAGCTGCTGACTTTTAAAAAATACAAAAACAGCTGGAACTCCACTGTATACATTGCACACTAGCACATTGTGAAAGATGTACCTTAAAATGAAACACTCCATCACTGCCAGGGCTTCCATCTTCACCCAGTCTTGGTTCCAGGTTCACGGACTCCGACTATTTTTTATGGCCAAGCGCAATGACGTCACTCTCACGCATGGGTCAGTGTACAATGGACTTGAGAATGCTGTCTATTCAGAGCACAGTGCTCATGCCCTGGTGATGTCACTGGCTGCAAAGCATGCAAATATCTACTATATAGTGCACGTTTAGGAGATCTCCATATTGCCTACTGGTAAGCTTTATTATAAGCTTACCTGTAGGTGTCACATACCTTAGATAGTGAGGCTGACATGAAGAGGCAGGCCTCCCGTACATCTCCGGCTCGAGGACCACTGGTAGTGGGACAGTAGCTACAGGAGCACGGTGAGGTATGAGTTCCTGTGATCAGTCTAGTAGTATGTGCTTGAGTGGAAGTCCACAGACAGGTGAAGAAGCAGTACAGGTTGAAGGTGGACAGCTAGGTATGGATCTTGCTTGACGGCAGGTTATAGGTAACAGCAGGAAGCAGAATCCAGATGCGGACTTGCCGGACCGATGAACTGTAGCCAGCAGGAAGGCAGATGCGAAGTCAGCTGGGTTGGTAACAGTCGGGCAGATCAAGCGCAGACGGCAGAGAAGTTAGGTCACAGACCAAGTCAGCAGCAGAGGTACAAGACAGGAAGCAGAAGAGTAGTCAAGGCAATCCGGGGTCGGGGCAGGTAGCAGACAAGCAAAGATCAGGAAATAGCCGGGTAATAACAGAGGTCGGGCACAAGGATCAGGAACACACTCAACAGCTGCAGACCAAACAGCAATGAGACAAGACTGCAGCCAGTTTAAATAGCCCTTTTGGTGGCAGCATTAGTGACAGGCACGCGCCTGAGTGCGCATGCGTGCGCGATTTTGCCCAAATCAATTCACATCTGTGTGTCCCTTTATTGTTCTCTGCATGCGCATATTATTATGCACCGAGAGCCCTCACTTGCACTGTGGACAAGCCTTTCCTGACAGCAGGTAAACATGACAAAGTGGAATTTACTACCGATCAAGCTTGGGGTATAGTCGTTTAGGGTTAAAACCCCTATCAGTTTATTTATTTTATTACTATATTTATTTTGCTATCCGTGTACTGTTAGGGAGTTTTCCCTCTACGTCCTGCCCCAGAGAGGCTTGAGAAAGTTAGAGGAAATTTCTTGAAGTGAATGGAATTCTTTTTGGAAGATCTCCTCACTTTCTGTCATGAGAAAAATGCCCTATACAGAATCTCCACAACAAGAATTCAGACAACAATAAAAACTGGCAAACCAGCTGCTGAAGAGACCTGTGCCTGTGATTAGAGGCTAGAACACTAGAATAATTACCATTCAAGGTCCAGCTCACTTCCAATCCATTTACAGTATATTGTTTTCACTCTTATGCCCTGCTGAAGAGGGCAATTTGGACTCTCAAAATGTGTTGACTTCTCATTCAATTGTCCTTCTGATCTTTATTAGAAAAAAAATATCTGGACCGTTAACAGTAGTGTGGAGCTTCAACTTACATTTGTGTAACAATAAAAGCTTGACAGGTTCTCATCCTTCCCCACTCTACTCAGAACCAAAAAAACCTTTTTGTCCTTTCATACACTTTAACGTTTCATGTTGTGGACCCAGGTGTTAAGTGCACCATTTTTCTGGGTCTAGAAAACCATCAGTTTACTTTTTGTTTAGATCAGGAGTCTCTACACTTTCTAAACAAAGGGCCAGCTTGCTGTCCTGCAGACTTTAGGCCAGATTGTGTACAGTGGGAGTAGAAAATGCTCCACCACCAGTGGGAGTAAACAAAGTCTCTGGCTTGGTGTTCAGTTGGAGTAAAAAAAACAGATCACGCCTGTGGTCATTAGGATGTGAAATGGTGCCCCATCATTGGTATTAATGGGGGAAAAAGACTCCTTGTTTGTATTGGTGGGGTGCCCAGTTATTGGTGTCAGTAAGAGGAACAGTGTCCCATCGTTGGTGTCAGTGGTAAGAATAGTACCCCATGGATTTCAGTGGGAAGAATAGTGCCTTATCATTGGTTTCAATGTTGGTGTCAGCGAAAGGAATGGTGATAAAAACTAACAAAGGGCCACATCTGGCGACCACTGGTTTAGATGCTTTGAAGAACATTTCCTAAAAAGTCCCCTTTTTTCTGTCTCTAAACTCTTTGTATATAAACACCTGTAAACACCTATGCAGAGAGGCACAAAAGAAAGTCAAATTCCTGTAAAAGCAGCATTTCTGATGCCCAGTGTGCATGAGCCCTTAATGAGGATTGCTATAGGTATCACCACAGAAGTAAAAAATAATATGAACGGCTTCAAACAGGGATTAGGTCACAGACCATACGATGGACAAGATTTGTTTACAGCATCCCATAACACAAATTGTGTGTGTGTGTATGTATGTATATATGTGTGTGTGTGTGTGTGTATAGATATAGATATTATATTTTATTTTATTTTTTTATTTGCAGAAATGAATAGGCCACTGTCATGAACAGCAGGAGTCCCCACTTTCAGTATGATGAAACTGACAGACAGACAAAAAATAGTCCTTCTCCTCCTCTGGAATCAACCAGTTCTAAGACTGACACTAAGAAGAAAAACAAACAAAGCAAGATGAGGGATGATCAGGATATGGCTAGGGAAGAATGGGGAGCTACAAGGAGCACCCGGGATAGAAGTCCTGACACTGACAAGAATAGTGACTCTTATTATTCTGATGACTATGACAACACAACCTACGGATCTGAAGGATCCCCAACACCTAGCTCAAAGTGTATATCTCCTCGTGCCAAGAAAACAGACTATAAAGTAAGATCTGTTACACCGGTACATAATCGTGGTAAGTGTATTAGTGTTTTTCAGAATACTAGACATTCATTTTCATATCATTTTTTTAGCAAATCTCTGTGTGTGTATATATATACTATACTGGTGTTTAAAGTTAAAGTGCCATTAAACCCAAATCATTATAAACTGTCAATAAGTGCTATACTACATTGTGGGCATACTCAATTGTCACTAGGGCTTTCCTTTTTTGTAGACGGCAAAAAATATGATTTATCCTGCTGTTCACTGTCCCTTCCTCCTTGTCTGTGTCCCTGCTTCAGACTGAGATTGTGTTATACAGCATGTGTTGGAGGCCAGCTGTTACCACATCTATTGAGCATGTTCCAGTTTCAGTTCCCTTCTGAGCTGTTAATGTCCTTCTTTCTCTTATCTGTGCAGCCCACATGACTAATGGTAAATGACACCCCCCCCCCCCCCAGCCCCCAAATCTGGCAACAGGAAAGGATACAGGTCTGCTTGCCAGGGGTGAGGCTACAAAAGTGCACCTGGATTTTTTTGCTTTGTAAAAGTAATTGCGTTGTTGTTCTAAGCAGGGTCTCAGTCAGAGAGGTGGTGTATATCACAAATTATATAATTCACTTAAAAGTGAGGTTTTGAAAAAAGTTTGTCTTTTCTCACCATGCACATATAGATTTTTGTTGGGATTTTTAATTTATACAGTATATGACCGCTGAAATTATTGAGAGTATTTTGTGATATGCGCTCTTTTTAATTTTAATATGCTTAACCACTTCAGTGCCCTTAATGATCAGGCCATATATTACTATTTAGCACTGTGCTACTTTAACTGGTAATTGCAGTCATTCAATGCTGTACCCAAACGGAATTTATAAAATGTTTTCACACAAGTACTGCTTTCTTTTGGTGGTATTTTGATCACAACTGGGTTTTTTATTATATCGTTATATAAATGAAAAAAGATCAAACATTTTGAAAAAAAAAAAACAGTATTTTTTTACTTTCTGCTATAAAAAACATATCCAATGAAAAAAAAATCTTATTGTCTTCAGAAAGTTAGGCTAAAATATATTCTGATACATGTTTATGGTAAAAATAAAATCCCAATAAGTGCATATGGATTTCTTTGCTTGAAGTTTATAGCATCTGCAAACTATGCTATACATACTGGAATAATATATATATATATATATATATATATATATATATATATATACACAGTCAGGTCCATAAATATTGGGACATCGACACAATTCTAACATTTTTGGCTCTATACACCACCACAATGGATTTGAAAAGGAACGAACAAGATGTGCTTTAACTGCAGACTGTCAGCTTTAATTTTAGGGTATTTACATCCAAATCAGGTGAACGGTGTAGGAATTACAACAGTTTGCATATGTGCCTCCCACTTGTTAGGGGACCAAAAGTAATGGGACAGAATAATAATCATAAATCAAACTTTCACTTTTTAATACTTGGTTGCAAATCCTTTGCAGTCAATTACAGCCTGAAGTGTGGAACGCATAGACATCACCAGACGCTGGGTTTCATCCCTGGTGATGCTCTGCCAGGCCTCTACTGCAACTGTCTTCAGTTCCTGCTTGTTCTTGGGGCATTTTCCCTTCAGTTTTGTCTTCAGCAAGTGAAATGCATGCTCAATCGGATTCAGGTCAGGTGATTGACTTGGCCATTGCATAACATTCCACTTCTTTCCCTTAAAAAAAACTCTTTGGTTGCTTTTGCAGTCTGCTTTGGGTCATTGTCCATCTGCACTGTGAAGCGGCGTCCAATGAGTTGTGAAGCATTTGGCTGAATACGAGCAGATAATATTGCCCGAAACACTTCAGAATTCATCCTGCTGATTTGTCAGCAGTCACATCATCAATAAATACAAGAGAACCAGTTCCATTGGCAGCCATACATGCCCACGCCATGACACTACCACCACCATGCTTCACTGATGAGGTGGTATGCTTGGGATCATGAGCAGTTCCTTTCCTTCTCCATACTCTTCTCTTCCAATCACTCTGGTACAAGTTGATCTTGGTCTCATCTGTCCATAGGATGTTGTTCCAGAACTGTGAAGACTTTTTTAGATGTTGTTTGGCAAACTCTAATCTGGCCTTCCTGTTTTTGAGGCTCACCAATGGTTTCCATCTTGTGGTGAACCCTCTGTATTCACTCTGGTGAAGTCTTCTCTTGATTGTTGACTTGGACACCCATACACCTACCTCCTGGAGAGTGTTCTTGATCTGGCCAACTGTTGTGAAGGGTGTTTTCTTTACCAGGGAAAGAATTCTTTTTGGTCATCCACCACAGTTGTTTTCCGTGGTCTTCCGGGTCTTTTGGTGTTGCTGAGCTCACCGGTGCGTTCCTTCTTTTTAAGAATGTTCCAAACAGTTGTTTTGGCCACGCCTAATGTTTATACTATCTCTCTGATGGGTTTGTTTTGTTTTTTTCAGCCTAATGATGGCTTGCTTCACTGATAGTGACAGCTCTTTGGCTCTCATCTTGAGAGTTGACAGCAACAGATTCCAAATGCAAATAGCACACTTGAAATGAACTCTGGACCTTTTATCTGCTCATTGTAATTGGGATAATGAGGGAATAACACACGCCTGGCCATGGAACAGCTGAGAAGTCAATTGTCCCATTACTTTTGGTCCCTTAACAAGTGGGAGGCACATATGCAAACTGTTGTAATTCCTACAACCGTTCACCTGATTTGGATGTAAATACCCTCAAATTAAAGCTGACAGTCTGCAGTTAAAGCACATCTTGTTAGTTTCATTTCAAATCCATTGTGGTGGTGTATAGAGCCAAAAATGTTAGAATTGTGTCCATGTCCCAATATTTATGGACCTGACTGTGTATATATATATATATATATATTAGTTTATGGCAGTGATAGTGTGGTGATCAGTCGGACATGGGTGGCAACTGACTGACTAACAAGGTATACCTGTGCTCAAATCCCAATAGCTAGTACATGTATTTATCTATCAGAAATTCTGAAGGACCCTCTGCACACTGGTATATATCCCCCCCCCCCCCCCCCCAGCAGACTTTGGAAGAATAGCGATATCTCGTTCACACATATTTCAACACATGTCCAAGCCGGCCAACTACGTCAAAGTAATCCCCTCTATGGCCAGTCCTACTCTGCTCTGCTTACATAACTGACGTTAGTCAGTTGGGTTTTGGATTTTACTGCAGCACAAGTTGGGATTTTACTGGGGTACAGGCAGAGAGGATAGGAAATTAAGAGCACATTGGTTTTCTGGCGTTGCAAAGGTTAAATGCTTATTTACATCTAGGAGATTGTAGAAGCAATTTTATTTACCCAACTCTCTGTTTACCCCTATGCTTTGGCAGTGGACTTTTCCTTGGCTCAGTACAGGGCTTTGGACACTGCATCAGTATTGATGACGTTGGACAAAATTTGACAGCCAGATCATAGAGGAGAAGAGGCTGCAGGTGTAATTTTTGCAATGAGGAGGCACCTACAGGAGCAGAGGATCAACTACGTAAAACTTCTTTGTGGTCCCCTATAAATAGACAAGCATGCAGAAAGTCACCAGCACTACAAAGCCTTCCTTTTTCACTTATTTATTGTGAAATCAGCATCGGTACATAATAAAAGCCAGTGTTTGGGGGCTTCCTGGGTGGTGAGGAGGACTTCTCCCTCTTTCTTATCTCAATTACGTAGGCAAGGGAGATCTGTAGTTCACAGAAGTAAACTGGCCAGGTTAGATAACACTGGTTGGGATTTTACTGCAGCACAGGCAGAGAGGATAGGAAATTAGGAGCACATTGGTTTTCTGACAGGATCACCGGGTATTTTTCTGTTTGTGCATGTTTTAGAAATATATACTGAATATAGTGGGGTTTTTGTTTTCTTTAAAAAAGTTAACTTTGGCAGGATATGAGCCCTTCTTCTTATCCTTTAATACAAAATGGTTCCACATAAGGCAGTTTGTTATTTTAATTTCACATTCACCTTTTTCTTCTTATATATAGGAATTAGGAAAATAAACTCCAAGTTTCCATCGAGTAAACGGGGACCTAGATGGGGATTTCGTTCCCAGAGTTTAAGCAAGGAGTCTTCTGCAAAGGACATTGATATGGTTACCAAAAGAGTTCTCTCTGCTCGACTTTTGAAAATAAATGAACTAAGAAATGAGGTTGTAGAGCTTCAAATGAAACTAGAAGAATATCAAAAAGAAAATAAGACTTTAAAAAGGCTACAGTTCAGGCAAGAAAAAAGCCTTGAATAAGTTTGAAGATACAGAAAATGAGATCTCACAGCTTTTATCACGACATAATAACGAGGTTAGAATCTTGAGGGAGCGCCTGCGCAAATCCCAGGAAAGGGAAAGGAATATTGAGAAGAAACTGAAGGAAACGGAGGATGAGCTATACAGGACAAATGGTGCCCTAAAGAAGTTAAAGCAGCTTTCAGAAAATAGGCATCTTGCAGAACGGGATGAGCTTACTAGAAAAGTAGAAATTCTAGAAAGCAGATTGGATGAACGAGAAAGGCGAGTAAAGGTATTAACTGTTTTCCTCATCAAGCATAGTTTAATTTCTGTGTTTGAGTGCTACTCTTACTCTATATTGTATTGAATTTTGGTGTATATCACAAAAAGGTATTTGTATACTTTATTCAGTATGTTAGCACATAAAAATGTATGGACATCCTAAATTTCATACTGCACAAATCGCTATCAGGGTTGCTAAAAGGCAATCATGCGTTTGGTCTAAATTGAAAGTGTTAACATCTCATTAAATTGTACCTTTGTCATCCAGTGCTGTACTGAATCAGCCTCATAATTATAATTAAGATGCTCATGCTCAGTTGTTTTCCAGAGTGGCACAGGATTCTGAAATTCTGGGTTCCTCTACCATAATGATATTAATCTGAGCCTGCTATGCCTGCTCTGTGGCCCTTTGCTCTCTGGCCTCAAGGTCAGATGGGTGACCTCAAGCCCTCATATGGTAGGATGTAGAATAAGAAGGGCAGGCCACAATATTCTCGTGATAAAAGCTGTTGCTAATTTACCTTTTTAGAATTTCCCAGGTTTTCAGTGTTCTGAGCCACTCTGGAAATCAACTGGATGTGGATTGGGGCACAAGGATATACCTAGGTTATTGTTTTGATGCTGGTTCAGTATACCACATTTCAGCCATAAGAATATGCCCAAGGCATTTATGAGAAGCAGCTGCACAGATGCAGCCAACAGCAGGGAAGATTTTGGCCAAAGGCTGTGAATGTTGCAGGAAGCTGCGGAAAAAAAATTTAATCTGGGCATAGATGGATCAAAATTTGGCTGATTCAGTGGGGACTGGACGAATTTCGACCTACGTTTCACCCTCCCTGTTTGATCAAAGTCAATTGTTAGATCGACTTCTGTCAAACGGATATGCTGGGAAACTTTTGTTGATCAGCAGCTACACCCACTTATCACTGTGGGAAGATTCCTCCTTCCACCTCATTTGTGTGGATGGAGGAATCTGTTAGCGATCTGACTGAATGAAAAAAAGAAAAAAAATAACTGATTTATTTTGCTGAGAAATCACTTTGAAAAACACCCCCCTTGCATTTCTGCTCGTGGCCATCTTGAGTAAGGTCAGATAATTCATAAGACATTTGCTTCCTAGAATCCATCTGCTCAGGAATGCAGACAGGAGGGTGTGCTTAACTGGCTAAGCCCATCCTCCCCTTCTGAAGACTCCTGGGATGTATGACATTATTTGTCTAGGCTTGGAAATCAGGAAGTAACTGAACAAATGTAAAAAACTAAGTTTAGAACAAATACATATGATATACTTTCCTATGTGCTAATGCTAGCAGCATAAGGATTAAAAATAGTTAACTTTGAGTGAGAGAGTGAAGTTCCGCTTGAATAGTAAATATTCTCATCATAACTGATTTTGATGGTTGTTTGATATCTTCTAGGATCTAGAGAAGAATATTGAACTGACTCAAAGCAGCTTCCAGAGACAGTTGCTGGCTGAGAAAAAGAGAGCCCATGATGCACAAGAAGAAAACAAATTATTACGGGAAGAGCTCCAGCGCTTGATTCAAAAGTTGAAGGTTCTTGTTCTGCTTTCCTTTTTTGTTCCTAGGTTTTCCTAGAGTGATGGGCAGTGTTCGCTTTCCACCTCACTTAAAGAATTTAGCACTATGACCAAAACATTCAGTTTTGGTCTCATGAGGCTAAATAACCTTTTCCACATTAGTCATGTCTGGTATATGCCTTTTAGCAAACTGTACGTAGGATTTGCTTTTTTTTTTATCATTAGCTTTGTTCCATAAACCTTTCCATAAAGTCCAATTTTGTGAAGAGTCTGGGTTATAGTTCTCCCCCACCTCAGCTTTGGTATTAACACCTTTGGAACACCCACCTTCAGAGTTACCATTGACCTCTTAGTTGCTTCTCTGACGTATGCCCTTTTTTTTTACTGTAATATGAAAACTCATTTGTCAGAATATTCAATGGTACCATCATAGATTGAACAAATTTTTTACGACAATTTGAATGGAAGTGACACCTGTAAATTTACTGTATGTGCGTGCCCTCTCCTCCTAGACACTTCCTCCTACAGTATAGATAGCATAAATAGCTCAGCTGCTTTGTTATATTATATTGTCGTTACCAGCAGGTTGAACGAAAAAGAAGATCCAATTCCCCCATCCACACATTTGATGTGAATAGGGAATCGCTCACTCTGTTATTGTGTTCTGATGGAGGGGAGACATTCTGGAAACATTTTATCATAAAGCTATATTGAAACTAAAATATGACACATTTTTATATGTTTGCGAGGACTCTGATTGCTACAGTTACTGATAGGAGTGCACATATGACTATATCAGAATTATTTCTGTTATGCTCTTTTTAAACAGGAGAAAGAAAGGGAACTTGATGCAAAAAATATATATGCTTATCGTCTTTCCAAGCCTTCACCAAAAAAGGAGACAGAAATAACTCCTAGGAAGAAAGGTAAGCATAATGATTTAGCTATCCAAAGGTTCTTACAAGGCAGAACTCCTGTGATGAGCAATCATGCTCCGATTTATGTTTCACTTTGCAAGGGAGTGACTTGGTGAATAGCTGTAGTAACACAATCTCAGAACTACATATATGCATATGCATAGGAGTCAAAAAAGGAGGCTTTCATCAGAATCACATCATAAAGTATTTTGCTTTCTGACTATTCCCTTTAGAAAATTTTAAAGGACAACTCTTAATAAACCTAATCTAAATCTAATGTCAAAACTGTTCAGCTTATCAAATGTAACCTATTACTGTTTTTTTTCCTCATTATTTGAATCCAAGAGAGATTCCATTATGCAAATTAGCATGCCTCCAATTGCATATGCTCATAATAAATTGCTTTATGTGCCAGTCTTGACCCACTGGGTCATGAAGACAGAAGCATAAAGCAGCCTTTTTCAACCAGGCTGCACAGGCACCCTGGGGTGCCTTTAGGGTTCTCCTGGGGTGCCTTGGAAAAATGCCTAATAATTGGCCAAACACTGTATATAAGTCAGCGGATGGATCAAGCCTGCATTTTAGTTACACATAGGGGTTAATTACTAAAACTGGAGAGTGCACAATCTGCTGCAGTTCTGCATAGAAACCAGTCAGCATCCAGGTTTTATTATCAATGCTTAATTGACCAAGCTGAAGTTAGAAGCTGATTGGCTACCATACACAGCTGCACTAGATTCTGAGTGCACCAGTTTTAGTAAATCTACCCCATAGTCGCAGGTTTTCCCTAACAACCAAATAAGTCTTCAGTTGATAAGGACATTGGGAACCTGCACAGCATCCTTGTTTGACCCTTCCCTACCCCCTTTCATCTGCACTGGGGTCACATTAGTTGAGTGAGAGAGAGAAACTGAGGAAGAAGAGAAACGCTTGAATACTAGTCAGTAGGCGTGTGCAAAGATGGGTTTGCTTTGGAAGAATAAATCACCTCTAACATTAAGTGTCCTATATTTGCGGATGTTGCTGCACTTTGTAAAACTATCAATTTAGTTTTTCACATATGACAGTGGGGTGCCTCGAGAATGTGCATCGTTTTAAAGGGTGCCTTGGCTGAAAAAGTTTGAGAAACACTGGCATAAAGGACCCACTGGAACCTTTATTTTCTCTATCATTCATTGAGGGGACAGCTTGTCGATAATTAAGCAATGTAGGGTTATACTGTCACTTGCTGCTATTCAGTTAAGACCAATTTTCTAGGGATTTCATGCTGGGTGTGTCAGGACCAGGATCATGGCAGTTTATCTGACCCCATTCTGAACACTGATTTGTGAGTATGAGAAGTTGGTTACAGTGGTGCTGTCTCCATTATTGATGCAGTTATTGGAGTACTGCTAGAGAGCTTTTTTCTTCTTACTGTCTAAACATGCTGGTACTGTTGGTAGACTTTGGGGTCCTAGGGAAAAACACCAGCCTCTTTATTGTTCACTTGAATTGTGTGCCTGTGCTTTATTTGGTGGCCTGAACCACCATTCTGAATTCCCTGCTGGTTCTCCTGCAGTCAAGACTTGATGACACTCGTCCACACACAATAGCCTTTCTTTCTGTATTTTTCTCTGATGCAGTGTGGAGGTAGTTTTTTTTTTTAGGCACAGTTAGCTGCTTTCCTTTACTGCTCTGCAACTTTAGTATGTGAATTACAGCATTCTCAACAACTGTGGTGCATTGAGCAGACTCTTCACTCTGCTTTTCTTACCACCACTTGCAGTGACAAGTGGAAAAGAGTCCTCCTGCTATTAACCCCGGTACACTGCTTAGGATCCGTGAGTATTCCTGGGGGACAAAGAACCTATTTCTTACAGAGAATGATTTTTCAGTTCTGCAAGGTTTTATGCTTCGGTTACTGAATCTGCTGTTCATGACGGTCAAAAACGCCCATGTTCCATTCCCCAAGTGGATTAAGGGGATACCATATCTGTGAGACTTTTTCACAGTCTAGATGTATAGAGGGGTCCAAAATTTAAGGAGCACTTTTGGGCTTCCAAGGAACATAAATTTCACATAAATTATGGATCTAATTTCCTGACTACCTGTCATATTTTTGGAGGCCCTGGAGCACCAGGACAGTGGAAACACCTACAAAATGATCACATTTTCTATGAGACATAGTCTTTTAAACGTCATTTTTTGCCACACATTTTTGGAAAATGTGGAAAGAAAATTAATTTTTTTTTTATAAACAAAGTTGACAATTTATAAGATATTTCTAACACAGCATGGACATACTAAGAATTTAAACCCCAAAACACATTCTGTTACTTCAATTAAAACGTGTTGGGGACCAAGAGAGGCCACCTAGGAAGAGGCTTAAAGGAGAACCAACATTTTGTTGGTTTTTCTTCAAGCCTCTTCCTAGGTGGCCTCTCTTGGTCCCCAACACATGTTTTCCTTGATATGACCCCAGCATTGGAGGACCCCACCACTTAAACTTATGGTGAGTCGGTGACCTATCCCAGCACCTTGAGATCTCCCCTCTATGGGTGATCTATACCTCTGCTTTGTAAGACTTTTAAACTTATAGTTACATTCTGTTACTTCTCCGGAGTATGGCAATACCACGTGTGAGACTTTTTCACAGGCTAACAACACAGAGTGGCCCAAAATCCAAGAAGCACCTTTGGGCTTTCAAGGAGCATAATTACGCATCTAATTCCTTTAATACCTCTGGCATATTTGAAGGCCCTGGAGCACCAGTGGAAACACCCACAAAATGACCACATTTTGGAAAGCAAACACACCATTGTATTTTCTATGAGGCATAATAATTTTTTTGAACATGTCATGTTTTGAAAAATGTGGAAAGAAAATTAAAGCTTTTTTTATACACAAACTTGTCAATTTATAAGATATTTCTAGCACATAGCATATATAGTGTTACAACCCAAAATACATTCTGCTACTTTTCCTATTGCCTTCCACTAGTTTGTACTGAAAATCAGAGAGCTGCCTGCTTCTCTCATCTGTCATGCTGAGGATTTGAAATGCCTTCTTGCTTGTGTAAAATTTTTTGGACATGGCTGGCACTGGTGAAATCATACTGCTGTAACAATGATACTGGGGCAGATGTGGCTGAATCAGGGCACTGGCAATGGCAGCACTGTTGTGATTGATCAGGACATTGAGGGGGCTGCACTGTCGTGGCTGATCAGGCCACTGAGGAGGCTGCACTGGCGTGGCTGATCAGGCCACTGAGGAGGCTGCACTGGCGTGCCTGATCAGGCCACTGAGGAGGCTGCACTGTCGTGGCTGATCAGGCCACTGAGGAGGCTGCACTGGCGTGGCTGATCAGGCCACTGAGGAGGCTGCACTGGCGTGGCTGATCAGGCCACTGAGGAGGCTGCACTGGCGTGGCTGATCAGGCCACTGAGGAGGCTGCACTGGCGTGGCTGATCAGGCCACTGAGGAGGCTGCACTGGCGTGGCTGATCAGGCCACTGAGGAGGCTGCACTGGCGTGGCTGATCAGGCCACTGAGGAGGCTGCACTGGCGTGGCTGATCAGGCCACTGAGGAGGCAGCACTGGAGTGGCTGCAATGGCATGGTTGATAAGGGTTCTGATTTGGCTGCTCTGGCATGGCTGATCAGGACACTGGGGAGGCTGAACGGGCGTAGCTGATCTGGATACTGAGGAGGCTGCACTGGCGTGGCTGATTAGGACACTGAGGAGGCTGCACTGGCGTGGCTGATCAGGCCACTGAGGAGGCTGCACTGGCGTGGCTGATCAGGCCACTGAGGAGGCAGCACTGGAGTGGCTGCAATGGCATGGTTGATAAGGGTTCTGATTTGGCTGCTCTGGCGTGGCTGATCAGGACACTGGGGAGGCTGAACGGGCGTAGCTGATCTGGATACTGAGGAGGCTGCACTGGCGTGGCTGATCAGGACACTGAGGAGGCTGCGCTGGCGTGGCTGATCAGGACACTGAGGAGGCTGCACTGGCGTGGCTGATCAGGACACTGAGGAGGCTGCACTGGCGTGGCTGGCTGCACTGGCTGCTCATCAGGACACTGAGGAGGCTGCACTGGCGTGGCTGATCAGGGACACTGAGGAGGCTGCACTGGCGTGGCTGATCAGGACACTGAGGAGGCTGCACTGGCGTGGCTGATCAGGAAACTGAGGAGACTGCACTGGCGAGGCTGATCAGGAAAACTGAGGAGACTGCACTGGCGAGGCTGATCAGGAAACTGAGGAGACTGCACTGGCGAGGCTGATCAGGAAACTGAGGAGGCTGCACTGGCATGGCTGATCAGGACACTGAGGAGGCTGCACTGGTGTGGATGACCGGTGTCGCTAATCTGGGCTCTGTTGTGGATATCTGGTGTAGGTGATCAGGGCTCCGATGTGGCTGCACTGTGGGTTTACATAATGTGTAAAAATCACAGTATGTAAACACACTCTCTGATCTTACACATCGGCTCTTTTTTACTCACACATGGTCTCTGTGTGAGGAAAGGAGAGCCGATTACCAGCAAAAGAATTTTGTATGTTCACACTGTGACAGCTGTGATTGCACACAGCTGACCAAATGATCAAGGGCTGCTGTGATTGGTCCTTTACCCTGATCTGTGATCTACTGTGTCCAAGGCACACAGCAGTCACTGAGCGCTCCCAATGCACACCCCAGGAGGCACACGGGAGGTGTGCATATGTGGGGGATGTCCAGGGATGCCTTTCCAGAACCAGGAATTGAAGCCGTAAATTTGCTATACGGTGGGAGGGAAGTGGTTAAGAACCCTACTGACAAGATGGCGAGATGGAAGCATTTTCTGGATTCATCTACTTGGGATTGGCCCTTGCACCTTTGCTTGCCACCTTTTTATTTCCCAGACTTTAGCTAATTGGTCTAAATCACTAAGTTGATTATGCTGACCACAAAACCATCATGTTAAATTTTATGTGCAATGCGAAACAGGATGCTAGTGTTCTGCCTCAGGCATCCCTTTCTTCATTTCAGATTCATGGAGTGATTTGGTTCAAATGTTAGTTGGCAGAGTAACAGTGTAAAAATGGTTTGTTACAACTACCCTTCACAGGAGACCATCTTTTCGGCACTTCACTGGACAAAGTAATTATACAGGCGATAGAGGATAAGAGTACTCACTTATCCCAGCTATGTAAAAATAAGGATCAGTGGCACAGGCCGGCACCTTCCTATCCTGCATCAAAATGATCTTTTATGCCTCCAAGGCGTCTTTCACACCCACAAGCCATCTTGCACCGCTTTGGGGTGTGAGCTTCTCAAATGTTTGCAAAGGCCATTGAACATCACACTTGAGATGTAACTGGGGGCTGCTATTCACGCTGAAGCTAATTTAACTGCAGATTTTGAGTTCTTGGACTGCCAAATGCATTTTGAGTACCAGAGTACAGATGCTTGGGTACGGTAGGTGGTATCCACAGGTTGCAAAAATAATTTCATCTCTCTCCTCCAACTGATTATTTGCTTTGCATCCTTCCTAGTCTCTGCAACGTTATATGTACCTTCTGTAAATCATTTGGGGATTGTTAAACCAGGAAGTTATCGTTCTTTCAATTGAAAAATTTCAGGCTTTTTACTCAAACCTGTTTTAGAGATCTGCAACCCAAGGGAGGCCCTCGCCCCATTCTGGATTTGAAGGCTCCCAAATATACTCAAATACACCCTCAAAAGTTTAGGTTGGAATCTCATCATGTTTGCACATTCCTATCTTTCCAGGTCACCAGCAATTTCTTTGTTTTACCATGGGCAACAGTCATAATTAGTTTGTGGCCCTTCTTTTCAGCCTAGTCTTGGCCCTGAGAGTGCCTTGCCCTGATTCTGGACCTTTTTTATCTGGAGGTATTCCAGTCAAGGAATATCTGGACATTCAGCAGACCTCTCTGATTTTTTTTTTTTTGGGGGGGAGGGTAGGTTTTCCTTTGTACCTGCCCCTTTGTTTGGACTGCTTTTGGATGTCTCTTCGCTTCTTTATTATCATCAAGCTGTGTCCTTCAATTGACAATAGAGAGAAGTGGAGTTTTGCACTCACTACTTTTGGGGCCATTTGTCTGTTTAGGGTTGTTGGTCATAATAAAAAAAAAACTATGCTGTCGTTACAGGATTAAACCTTTGCATCAGCGTGGGTGTCCAAACAACTGAATCCTTGTCTATGCCAGACTCCAATTTTCCAGAACCTCCACCCCCTATATTCATGGATGAAACAATGGAAAACCAGCAACAGATTCCAGAAATGGTAAAAAAAAAATTCCTACAGTAAACATATAGTAAGAGAAATACATAGGCGGAAGTTGCTAACAGCCTTGGTGTTATTTTTTATGCCAACTGAGTTAAGCTGGATACAGATGGTCCAAATTTTGGCTGTTTCAGCAGTAACCAGCTGACAATCGGACCATGTGTACAGCTGTCCTTCCAACAGAAGCCAGAATAAGTACTGGCTGTTGTTGAAGGGACATGCTGGAAAACCAACATTCGATCAGAACTCGCAGCCCATGGCTTTGAGAGCTTATTAGTGTGTTTTGGCAGAGGATGGCTGGGGGCAGGTTGAGGGGGGGGGGGGGGTTGATGGGTCTCCAGTCAGAACACTCAGGCACAGTGGGGAACATCATCCCTTTTTTTTTTTTTTTTCCCCCAGATCACAGGTTTACTTTAAAGCAACTTTACTCTTAGGGCCCTCCTAACCCTCTTGTATTGGACTGTATTGTCTCCCTTTTTATTGTAAAGTTCTGAGCAAACTGTTGCCGCTATATAAATCCTGTATAATAATAATACAAAATAATAATAACTTTATAAAGTTTTCCTTAAAAAAAAAAAAAAAAGTTATGTCAAATGGATAAAACTTTGATTGTTCTGTCTGTCGGGTAGTTTGTGAAACTGATTAAGATACATATATACATCTTGTCGTCTCAGCTGTCATTTAATTTTGGTTCAACATCTTTCTTTGGTCATTGGGTGGCCACTGATGTAACTTTTTGTACATGCACAGTGAAGATACGCAATCCCAGGAGTGTATACTGCACTGTACATGTGCCACAGGCAGTGTACAGTTGTGTTCAAAATAATAGCCGTGTGTTGAAAAAAGTGAATAAAGTTAAAAATCCTTCTAATAGCTTTTATTTCCATACACACAAATGCATTGGGAACACTACACATTCTATTCCAAATCAAAACATGAAGAAAAATATATCAAATTTGTGTTCCTCTAAAAAAAATTGAAGAAAAGTGAATATTAGACTGTTCAAAAAAATAGCAGTGTTTGTATTCTTTACAAACTCAAACATTCACTATATAAACTGAAAAATGTTTAAAGATTTTGCTTTCCTTTGAATCACTTAATGAATATTTAGTTGTATAAGCACTGTTTCTGAGAACTGCTGTACATCTGTGTTGCATGGAGTCAACCAACTTCTGGCACCTGTGAACAGGTATTCCAGCCCAGGATGATTGGACTACATTCCACAGTTCTTCTCTATTTCTTGGTTTTGCTTCAGAAACGGCATTTTTGATGTCACCTCACAAGTTTTCTATTGGATTAAGATCTGGGGATTGGGCTGGCCACTCCATAACGTCAATCTTGTTGGTCTGGAACCAAGATGTTGCATGTTTACTGGTGTGTTTGGGGACATTGTCTTGTTGGAACACCCATTTCAAGGGCATTTCCTCTTCAGCATAAGGCAGCACGACCTCTTCAAGTATTCTGATGTATTCAAACCGATCCATGATCCTGGTATGCGATAAATAGGCCCAACACCGTAGTATGAGAAACATCGCCATATCATGATGCTTGCGCAACCATGCTTCACTGTCTTCACAGTGTACTGTGGCTTGAATTCAGTGTTTGGGGGTCGTCTGACAAACTGTCTTCGGCCACCAGACCCAAAAAGAACAATCTTACTTTCATCAGTCCACAAAATGTTGCTCCATATCTTTTTAGGCCAGTCATTGTGCTCTTTGGCAAATTGTAACCTCTTCAGCATATCTTTTTTTCAACAGTGGGACTTTGCGGGGGCTTCTTGCAGATAGCTTGGCTTCACATAGGCGTCTTCTAATTGTAACAGTACTCACAGGTAACTTTAGACCTTCTTTGATCTTTCTGGAACTGATTGTTGGCTGAATCCTTGCCATTTTGGCTATTCTTCTATCCATTCGAATGGTAGTTTTTTCACTTTCTTCGACGTCTTTCAGGATTTGGTTGCCATTTTAAAGCATTTGCGATCATTTTAGCTGAGCAACCTATCATTTTCTGTACTTCTTTATATGTTTTCCCCTCTCCAATCAACTTTTTAATCAAGGTACACTGTTCTTCTGAACAATGTCTGGAACGACCCATTTTCCTCAGAATTTCAGAGAGAAATGCACTGTAACCAGCATGTACAACATTTGCTGCCTTCGTTCCTTAAATAAGGGCAATAATTGCCACCTGTTTTTCAAAGAATGAATGACCTCACTAATAGAACTCCACACTGCTATTATTTTGAACATGCCCCTTTCAATTAGTGATTCAATTACACAGAATCAGCAGCATGCATGTCATGACTGTTGGGTCTGTTGGATTTCTATTACTCTACTACACCTGCTAGTAAATTATTTTTTTCCATGTAGAAATATCATTTCTACCAAAAACAGTGATTGATCAGGTTAGTGATGTCTGATTGCTATTATTTTGAACACAACTGTATATAAAATATACAGTGTGTGTTATTGTTTGATCTGTTGCCCCACAGCACATTGACCACAGGGGGTTTCTTGCTCAGCACTGTCACATACATAGAACAACTTGTATTTTTTCAGTGAATACAAGGCATTCTCTGAGTGGATGAGGTGGAGGGTCGGTGATGTCACATTCTACTCCATGTCTAATCAAAGAACGCTTTGTATTATTGAAAAAAAAATATAAGGCATTCTATGAATGGTAGCTTTCCCAAGTGAGTGACCTTTTTTTTTTCAGTGTACAATGGGGCAGCTGCATACATAGAGCCTGAACAGGACCCCTGATGATATTGGCTATCACTGTAGTAGATACAACTACTGCAGAAATTTTCAGTGGTTCGTCAGTTATGAGAGCAAATCACATCATTACATAGGATTTATATAGCCCTAAGAGTTTATGCAGCACTATCCAACATAAAGGAAGACATTACAGCCCTATAGTTTTACTTTAGTGTGGATTCCTCTTATTCATTGGTATTATGGTGATGGTTGCTACAATGCTGCCCCTATCAATGATTCTTGGTATTCTATACTGTGATGATGAGGTCTGAGCACCCCCAAACTGAGTAATAAATACTGTGGTACCCTTTTTCTGTTCAAATTTGCAAATCTACAATGCAAGTTAAATTAACATTTTTGTCTGCAGGTTAATAATACACCTGAACCACAAGCATCTTGAATTCTATTCCAACAGACAACTTTTCAATTGAATAAACATTTCACTTCAAAAGACCTTTAGTTAAGCTGAGGAATTGTCATTGGCAGTGTTACAATAAAATGAATTAGTGGAATACTGATAACAAAACATCTGCTAGTAAGAGCGGCTTCACACTGCCCTGGTGCTGTTCTGCTGCGTTTTGGGCAAAGTGCAGCTAACCCGCGGGTTAGTTGCACTTTCCCATAGACTTTTATGATGTCCCACGGTTTTGGTGTGGTTTCAGGAAGGACACTACAGATGCAGCATGTGGGAGTTTTGGAGCGCTTTCTGAAACCACACCAAAACTGCAGGACCTAATACAAGTCTATGGGAAAGCGCAGCTAACCCACATGAAAAACACGGGTTAGCTGCGATTTGGAAAAAGCGCAACGGGGCAGTTTGAAGCCACCCAAGGGTCTATGGTATGTCTGCTCACAGTATATTTATACAGGCCTATGATATAAAACCAGATCCCCCATTTTAATGGAACTGGAAATGATGTGTGGAAACCAGGCTTAAGTAGTTATGTCAATTGACATCTGCTAGCCCAAGCGAATGCCTGCCATACTTATATCTAAATTTTGCCAGTTTAGCAGGTACCGGACGAATTTCGATCAATGTATGGGCAGTCTTGTACAGAAGTCGGTCTACCAGTCGCCTTCTGTACAACCAGCCTGTTGGATTTTCCTTGCTCGATCAGCACTGCTGGCTATAGCTAGCAATGCTGATCAGTGTATTCTGATGGCAGCGAAGTCTCCCTTCTATCAAAATACAAAAGGTCAGCGTAGTTGATTCCCCAAATCCATCTTGAATGTGTGGATTGGGGGAAATTAAAAGAGAAGTATGGCTCCCCCCCCCCATGTATACTTACCTAAGTGGATGCAGCATCAGTCCGATGCTGCATCTGTTCCCCATTGGCTCTAAGGGTGAGAACTCAGTGATCACATGACATCTGATTGCTGAGTTCTCCTCTCTGCTGTGAGAAGAGAGCAGTGACTGTCAGTCACCGCTCTCTGCTTTGCCTCCCCAGCGCTCACTGGAGTGCTGGGCTGCGGATGGGGAGGGAGCGGCTCAGGCTCTCAGCGGCTCACTGAGTGGCTGATCCAGGTGCCACTCCAGACTCTGGGGTGGATCCCGACTTTAAAGTTGGGATTTTTTTTCCCAGCCTGGACTGGCTGAGTGACATCAGCTGACAGTGGACTTCAGCCCTCTGTTAACTGAAAACTGGTCACAGGAGTGCAAAACGAACTGCACTCTTGTGACCCACAGAAGTACAGCCAAAAGAGCTTTGGCTGTACTTCTCCTTTTATGTCTTTTTCGTTCCAACCCACTGGTTGAATGGAAAAAGACTAATGTATGAGCTGCTTAACAACCTATTAGACCAGTTTGTTTGCCCTATCATAAAATATTTTATCCTGCAGAAAACAATACGCATTCCTGGCTAATTATCTTTTTCTGCAAATATTTTGTTTGCACCATTTTACCTTTTTAAAATCAGCAAAAATATCTGTAATACACTAAGCCAGAATGTAAAGAATCCCTGTCTCTTTGAAGAGCACTACTATATTTGAAATCTCTGAAATATCACTGTTTCGGTGTGGATTAGACATTTCTTAAGTCATAATTGTTGTCACAGATATTGTAAATGGTTTGCGTTTGCAACAAAACTCACGGTGGCAGCTGTTTGATGTGTAACAGGTTAACTGTGTACTTAGCTCAGTGTTGATCTTTTTTTAAATTTCCTGATACCTAGATTGTGGTCCTGTAATCTGGAAAATCTTTGTGCAGGGTGAGGCTGAGCGTGGTCATTGTCACATATTTGGAACAGTGGTGTGAGTTTACCCTGTGTTTTTCCCTAATAGTGGCAGCGTTTTGAGATCAGGCCTGCTGTTGTCACACATATGGCTTAGAATTTTTTCATTCACGTGAAAACATTACTTAAGATATTTTGTTCATATTTTCTCAAGGAACAAGATAGTCTTGCAAAGCAGATTAAAGAGGAAGCAGAAAAGCTAAAAAAAGAAAAAGAACAAGCAGAAAGAAGACGTGATCTAGAAGAAAAGCTCAACAGAGATAAAGAACAAAAGATTTTGGAGGACAAAGCAAGAAAGCTGCGTGATGGTAAGGAAAAATCTTACAAGAAGCTAAGAAAACTTATGTTTATTCAAGAACTACTTCTTTCTTCCACAGGCATAACACTATAATCTGGCCTTAGTTATATAATAGAATCAGTTTACATGGTACTGCAAAATGTAAAAGAGGTATGCAGATTTAACTTTAACTAGCTTGTGCAAAGACCAAATTATATGAATAATGCAGAAACCTAAAAAGCAACCAAACAGGTTTCCTGTTCTTTAGGGTTAGTTTACTTTTACCAAAAAACTGCATATGCCGATGAGGGATGTCTGTAGTTGCAAACAAGCTGTGCAGCTTTGACTGAAGTTGAATAATGCTATAGGTATAGGCCATTTGTGTACCATATAAATCCTGAACTGAAAATTCCCAGCACATTGCTAGGCGAGGCCTAGCTCTTACTGTTCACCATCACATGAGTGTAAAACCTTTATCCCAAAAGAAACACAAAAAAAAAGTAACTGATGTGGAACTGCTTGTTGTAACTGAAGTGAGCACTGGAGCTTTCAGCCATTTTTCAATTTGTTAGTGTATCTAAATCTGCTAGTACATAACAGCACTGGAGTTCAGTTTCAATTTGTTAGTGTATCTAAATCTCACCCCCCCCCCCCCCCCCCCCCCCCAGAGTGAGAATGCTGCTGTCCAAAGATGTCCCTGTGCTTCTTCATCCAGAGTGGGGGCCTGCTAATACAGGAGGTGTTACTTGCCAGATCACCAGGTGAAAACGGGGCAAGAAAAGTAAAAAAAAAGAAAACTAATGCAGCCACCACATCTAATGACTGGTAAGCTGCCATATATTACATTTGTGGTTTTGGGTTTAATACAGCTTTAAATGAGGCTGCATCAGTTTTTCTTTGCTTCAATTTTTTTTTTAACTCCTTTTTTCTTTATTTTCACTTGCTGATTCTGCCAGTAACACACTTCTTGTCTCAGGGTGGATAAAGGAGCTGTGGAGACACCTTTGAGCAGCAGCATTCTCACTCTGTGGAGGGCGTTGTGTTAGATGCAGTGGCAGATTTAAACAGACTTGATTCACAATTAACAAAATACCAATTACAGCAACAGGTTTTTTGTTTCCCCTTTGGGATAAAGGTTTTACATAAATGAATAAAAGTGGACAATTGTAAGCACCTCTGTCAATGTTAAATGGTTTGTCTCAAGCATCTGCCACTTTATTCGCAGGCGCAGCTCACTGTACAAATTCGGCAACACCGAGTTTAACAGAACGCATGCGCTAGAGTGACGTCATGCCTGCCTGGCCAATGACACCAGCCGGCATTTGGGACCCAGAAGCCGGCTGCCTGAAGATGTCAGTGTCCAGGCAGGGAGCTCCAGGACAGCGCATCGCTGGATCGAAGGTGAGTATAAGTTCTCTTTAAAGGAAGTTTAAAAACCGGTTGAATCACCAGGTGAAAATTAAGGAAAATGGCCAAAAAAGAGAAGAGAAACACAGCTATCACATCTAAGAATTAATCATCTACAATATATTACATTGCGTCTGGGGTTTAATACTGCTTTAAGATTTAGTAATTTAAATCCCAGGTGAATTTGGGGTGCTTTGTGAAATGAAATCCAGAAGTAGAATACACAAAATGTAGCTTAAGTTTAATTGATTAAACTTTCTGGCTTTGGCAAAGTTGCAGTTTTGGCTGATAGCTTAGGTAACTCACTGCACTTACACTTGTTGTCGGAATCTATTATTTAACTAACCTTTAATGGGAGAAATACAGGGTTTGTGATTGCCGACCTCCTTCTAAAGCAGTGTTTCTCAACCTTTTTTCAGTCAAGGCACTTGTTTAAAATTCTGCACAATCTCAAGGCACTCCATTTAAAATGTAAAAAACGAATTGTTTTACATGTTGCAATCCCCCACACATGTAAGACACCCAAAATTAGAGGTAGGGCCGGTGCTTCCCCTATGCAAACTAGGCAGCTGCATATGGCACACTACCACCTAGAAGCGCCTGGGCGCAGCTCAGGCCACCACTCTCTCTGTGTGGCGTATGGACTCCTGGAAAGAGTTCTTAATTTCTCTGCAGAGTCCCCCTCTCCTCATACACTGGGCATGATGCTATCTTTACTCTGCACAATTGTCTCACAGCCTGTCCACACACATGAGCATTTGGTGTCTGGGGCCAGTGTAGCAGCTGAGCTTCCTTTCCTTCCAGTGTTCCTCTCAGACTCAGTCCCTTACTGCAAGTCGGCTGGTGGTTGCTGATCACTGTGGAGTTTTGTATTAATGTCTTTTTTTTGTTTCTCTGTCTGGTTAATACAGTTAATTTATATTTTGTTAATCTATATTTTGTCTTTAATATTGATGCTGGTGGCATCTTTTGGCACCTATTTTTGCAAAGTAAAAGAAATTCAGCAGTTTTGTGTTTTGTTGATTTGATATTTTCTACTGGTTTTAAACATTTTTTTTTTTTTTTGGAGGGGCACAAGTACCTGGTCTTGCCTAGGGCACAAAATAGTCTAGCACCAGCCCTGATTAGAGGTGATTTATTCTTGTGCAAAGCAAATACACTTTTGCACAATGGTACTGACTAATATTCCAGCATTTCTTCTCCCTCAGCTCCCCCCCACAGATAAGATGGCCCCAGTGCTGACAAGGATGCTGAATACGTGCCTGATGTCCTCAATATCAAGCGATGATGTAATTGGCTGTTAGGATGCCGTCAGCTAAAAGGCTGCAATGGTACACAATGAAAACCTGTGGCTTTGTGTAACAAAAGACAGGATTGATCCATCTCCTAGCTTGTATACAATATTTGGGCAATTTTAAGGCATTTTTTCAAGGCACCCCTGAAGAAACCTAAAGGCACCCTAAAAAAAAAAAAAAAAAAAAAAAAAGGCTGTTTAAACAATTCTAGTTGTTTGGGTGTTATTCTGATCTGCTGGCTTTAAAGCAGTATTAAACCCAAAACCAAAAATATAATATACAGTCAGGTCCATAAATATTGGGACATCGACACAATTCTAACATTTTTGGCTCTATACACCACCACAATGGATTTGAAATGAAACAAACAAGATGTGCTTTAACTGCAGACTGTCGGCTTTAATTTGAGGGTATTTACATCCAAATCAGGTGAACGGTGTAGGAATTACAACAGTTTGAATATGTGCCTCCCACTTGTTAAGGGACCAAAAGTAATGGGACAATTGGCTTCTCAGCTGTTCCATGGCCAGGTGTGTGTTATTCCCTCATTATCCCAATTACAATGAGCAGATAAAGGATCCAGAGTTCATTTCAAGTGTGTTATTTGCCTTTGGAATCTGTTGCTGTCAAATCTCAAGATGAGATCCAAAGAGCTGTCACTATCAGTGAAGCAAGCCATCATTAGGCTGAAAAAACAAAACAAACCCATCAGAGAGAGAGCAAAAATATTAGGCGTGGCCAAAACAACTGTTTGGAACATTCTTAAAAAGAAGGAACGCACCGGAGAGCTCAGCAACACCAAAAGACCCGGAAGACCACGGAAAACAACTGTGGTGGATGACCGAAGAATTCTTTCCCTGGTGAAGAAAACACCCTTCACAACAGTTGGCCAGATCAAGAACACTCTCCAGGAGGTAGATGTATGTGTGTCAAAGTCAACAATCAAGAGAAGACTTCACCAGAGTGAATACAGAGGGTTCACCACAAGATGTAAACCATTGGTGAGTCTTAAAAACAGGAAGGCCAGATTAGAGTTTGCCAAACGACATCTAAAAAAGCCTTCACAGTTCTGGAACAACATCCTATGGACAGATGAGACCAACATCAACTTGTACCAGAGTGATGAGAAGAGTATGGAGAAGGAAAGGAACTGCTCAGGATCCTAAGCATACCACCTCATCAGTGAAGCATGGAGGTGGTAGTGTCATGGCGTGGGCATGTATGGCTGCCAATGGAACTGGTTCTCTTGTATTTATTGATGATGTGACTGCTGACAAAAGCAGCAGGATGAATTCTGAAGTGTTTCTGGCAATATTATCTGCTCATATTCAGCCAAATGCTTCAGAACTCATTGGACGCCGCTTCACAGTGCAGATGGACAATGACCCAAAGCATACTGCAAAAGCAACCAAAGAGTTTTTTAAGGGAAAGAAGTGGAATGTTATGCAATGGCCAAGTCAATCACCTGACCTGAATCCGATTGAGCATGCATTTCACTTGCTGAAGACAAAACTGAAGTGAAAATGCCCCAAGAACAAGCAGGAACTGAAGACAGTTGCAGTAGAGGCCTGGCAGAGCATCACCAGGGAAGAAACTCAGCGTCTGGTGATGTCTATGCGTTCCAGACTTCAGGCTGTAATTGACTGCAAAGGAATTGCAACCAAGTATTAAAAAGTGAAAGTTTGATTTATGATTATTATTCTGTCCCATTACTTTTGGTCAATTAACAAGTGGGAGGCACATATGCAAACTGTTGTAATTCCTACACCGTTCACCTGATTTGGATGTAAATACCCTCAAATTAAATAGAGCCAAAAATGTTAGAATTGTGACGATGTCCCAATATTTATGGACCTGACAGTATTGCAGCTTTCCAATCCTTAGGTGTGGTGGCTGCATTAGTTTTAGTTTTTTAAGCTTTTTTTCCCCTCTGTTTTACGTAAATAAAAGCTGATTATTGTAAGCATCCCATCAGTGTTAAATGATTTGGCTCATCGCTTTAACTGCTACATCTGCAGGACAGCTTGTTCTGTTGAAAAACAGAGTCACTGACAGGATCATGAGGTGAAAATAAAGGGAAAAAAAGAAAGCTAATGTAGTAAGTAAGTAATTGGTAAGCTGCAATATAATAAATGTTTCCTTTAGGGTCTAATTCCACTTTAATTTGTCACTGATTTGTAATAAGTTTGCAGATCAGGAAAGTCAGAAACATTTATCAGCATAATTGTTCTAGGTCAGGAACTCAAATTATTATGGCAGGAGGGTCAGCATGACAGCCAGGTATCTAGGATTTTCAAAAAGAAAGGTCATCAATGAAAGCCTTCAGCTCTCTGTCATGACAAGTTTCCATTAAATGAAATGAATGATTTTAGCTGGTAATGTGTGTCTGTATGAAGCAGAAGAATATGTGTCAGAATACTGGCTGGAAAGGAGCCATTTCATTGTAATTGAAACAAATCTAGTGAAATGGTATGGCATTATTTTAGTTTTTGCTTGGGCCATATATAGTTCAGTTCAGAATGTGTACTTTGTTTTACAATCTTTGCAGAATGGGAAAAAGAAGAGATGGAAAGAAAAAGAAGAGAAGAGCAAGATAAACTTCTACAGAAAGAAACTATAAACAAGTCTGAAGAAGACAGACTTAGAAAGGAACTTTTGCTTGCAAAAATGTTTGAAATTGACAGGGAGAACCAGGACCCATTTTACTCAGATTCCACTAAACATAATTCTATGATGACTGTTGGGGATGCAGCAGGTAAAACTGACATGGCAGACACAAAACAAAAAACATACAAGTTCACTGAGCCAACTGAGAAATTGTTTAATGGACTTCCAGTTCAAGGAGGGCAAGAGAAAGATGCCCCAAGTCATAGAAATGAAATCCCGGTTGTCAACACTGGCGATATTACATTTGGGAGCTATACCCCATCTTTTGGGAAAGGAAGGTCGCCTGGTAACAGCCAAAAGAAAAATGTGTCTGCAGAGCCTATTGTAAGCACTACCAAGCTGGATATAAAGAAGGAAAAGAAATCAAATTTAATGGAACAGCTTTTTGGCGGTAGCTCCACCACTGTACTTCCTTCCGTTTCAAAAGGCAGTGATCAGACTGGTTTTTCATCCAGCAGTGATAGAGTTACTGACAGTGACACAAGTAACACTCTGACCTGGGAGCAAAACCACAAACTTAAAGGAAAAGGTGACATGCCCTTCACCAACGATGGCAAAACCCTGAGCTCAATTAGACATCGCACACAGCACCCACCTGGCAGGCCAATAGTAAAAGCTATTGATTCCTTAGAGGATGAAATCGAAGAGGTAGCTTTATAGAAACATGGTTTATAGACATGTATGTGCCTGATTGCTAACTTTTTAAAATTCCATGTCAGGGCATTGTATACTATTTTAACTGGCCATATTTTATGTTAGTGTCTTTTAATAAATTATTGGAAATATCTATAATGATTAGTTTAAATACTATTTACGTGAACGGTGATAATTTAATGCCAACCGCACGCTGGGCATTTAAGCCCTGACACATGGGCTCTGGTGTTTTAACTGCAGGCAACCTGTAAAACTCTGAGAGACTGTCAGCTGCTGCGGCTGGACAGTGCTTTTAGCAGTACTAACTTTTAGAGCAGTATGTGTCCAGGGACAAATGCCTGGAACGTAGACATCTTGTGTTCCTGGTATTCATCCTTGTGGGTATACTGTCCTATATGTCAATACCTCTAGTTGCGCTGCCCAGCAGCAGTTGTCAGACTTTCATATAGAGTCTGGACAGTGCACTTTTGCTCTCCACCCACAGCTAAACCCCAGAGCCCCATCCACTGGAAATAAACACCCAGTGTACATGGGACCTAACTCGTAATTGGGCATTGTGATTGTACATGCAGAAGAACAATTATTGTTGTATAGGTTGATTTTGCAATGAATAGATATTGTCCCTTTTTTTGCGTGTTTAAAATAAGAGGTGTTTGTTTTCTCATGAAAGAACTCTGGTCCAAATGAAAACTTATTTTACAACTTCTAGGGATAGAGTTGTTCACATTCTGTGAACTTTAATCTGTTATCAATTGTGTATTGGCTACTGAAGGTGAAAGGGCAGCTATTTTGCTAATGAACCAATCTCTGAAACCAGACAGCCAGAATAATTTTCTGTGATTGTCCTATTTTAAGGTAACTGTACATAAGAGGCATGTTTTGTTTGTGTGTTATCCCCACTAATGTCAAGGACAACATTCTGAAGAGGAGTGTCAACATACATCCTGTTTTTTTTCTTTCCACTTTTTTTTAAAATCATGACAATACAATAAACATTTTTAGGTGGTTTCTTTTCTTGTTATAGTGAGGCTATTTCATGTCTTTCAGGCAAGCCATACAAATTTTAGATGTCTCTTTTCCAGCCCATTCCCCCATCTATATTAAATGGCGCCAGTGGAGAAATATCCCCTTCCAACTGTTGCATTGAAACAGCCATAATACCTGCAGCTGTCTCAATACCCGAACAAAGACTGCATTTGATTGGATCAATTACTTTCCACCCTGCTCCTTCAATTATTTTAATTTAAAATTTTTTGAGCTAAGTGGTGCTGGCTTAACAAATTTCAATAGCTGGCATAATCTTGAGATCCCAGTTGTCAGCTGGGCAATTCTGAGCTTTCAGCTATAGCAGGGGAGAATATTTAAAAAGCAGGGATGTTCGATTCCTATCGCCTGACACCCGGGACATGTAGTTCTGGGCGTTGGGCAGGTAGTTTTTTTTTTTTTTTTTTTTTTTTTCTACCTTTAGCCCTGGTGCGGGCAAGCAGCGGGCTCTCACCTGTCAGGTGGAAGCATTTGGACGGTAGTGCTGTAGCCCGATTGCTTGCACACAGTGCCAGCCTCTCCCCCACATAAGGTCTCCCGGGCTCTGCTTGCCCATCTGCGGGCCCTGGACCGGCTCACCTGCGTCGGCTAGAGAAGAGGGAGGAGAGCAGACACTTCCACTCCCCTCCCCTTCTTGTCCTGACCTGGAAGTGATGTTATGATGTCACTTCCAAGTCCCCGTTGAGAGTTTCCCAGCCATGGAAGTCGGGAAAGAATGTAATGCGGTGTGAAAGTGTTTTTTTTTTTTTTTAATTGTAAAAAATGAAAGTTACATCCAAGCACATACCATCCAACCCGCCCAAAAAATTGAGGCCCCCCACATTTAGGCACGTACAAACGTAAAAGCACATGCTAGGGCACCTACGCATGAAAGCGTCGATTGCGATACACATGTCATATATCGCCGTGCATGCCAGAATGAGAGCAATAATTCTAGCACCAGACCTTCTCCATAACGCTATACTGATGAGGTATAAGGAGCTTGACTCAAACCAACTATTTGAAGCAGCATAAGTTTTTTTTTGTTTTTGTTGTTTTGTTTTTTTTTTTTGTTTTTTTTTTTTTTTTTTTAACCCAGATTGTCACTGTATTGGGTTTGCTGCTTCACAGATATGTTTGCTAATGTTGAATAGCTCATTGCCTCTGCAAAAGCCTTGGAAAGGTAACCTAACTCTTCTCCATCTTGCCATACCCCTATGTGTGAAAACTTTAGATGCTCCTTAAAGCTGTCTTTACTCCTGCAAACCTAGCCCTGCAACCAGCTCCTGCTGATATTTCAGTATGCTGAATGGAAGCTAACTGGATTACGACAGAGAACAACCAACATGGACTGCACAGTTAGAGTAATAAAACAACTCCCTTCCGCTCTGCTTTTTTTTTTTGTGTGGATGCCATAGAATATGTCATGAGACAGATTTCCTGAACGGCTCCAATATCCATTCACATTCTGAAGCTGCATGCAAAAGGTGCATCACACATACAGTGGATATAAAAAGTCTACACACCACTGTTAAAATGTCAGGTTTTTGTGAAAAAAAAATGAGATGAAGATAAATCATTTCAGAACTTTTTCCACCTTTTATGTGACCTATAAACTGTACAACTCAATTGAAAAACAAACTGAAATCTTTTTTTGGGGGAGCAATAAACATAAAAAAACTAAAATAATGTGGTTGCATAAGTGTGCACATCCTCTTATAACTGCGGATACAATCACATTCAAAATCATGTTAAATAGGAGTCAGTACACACCATCATTTTAAAGTGCCTCTGATTCACCCCAAATAAAATTCAGCTGTTCTAGTAGGTCTTTCCTGACATTTTCTTAGTTGCATCCTACAGCAAAAGCCATGGTCCGTAGAGAGCTTCAAAAGCATCAGAGGGATCACATTGTTGAAAGGTATCAGTCAGGAGAAGGGTACAAAAAAAAATTTCCAAGGCATTAGATATACCATGGAACACAGTGAAACGGTCATCATCAAGTGGAGAAAATATGACGCAACAGTGACAAGAACTGGATGTCCCTCCCAAAACTAATGAAAAGACGAGAAGAAAACTGGTCTGGGAGGCTGCCAAGAAGCCTACAACAACAATAAAGGATCTGCAGGAATATCTAGCAAGTACTGGCTGTGTGGTACATGTGGCAACAATCTCCCATATTCTTCATATGTCTGGGTTATGGGGTAGAGTGACAAGACAGAAGCCTTTTCTTATGAAGAAAAACATCCAAGCCTGGCTAAATTTTGCAAAAATACATCTGAAGTCTCCCAAAAGCATGTGGGGAAATGTGTTATGGTCTGATGAAACCAAGGTTGAACTTTCTGGCCATAATTCCAAAAGATATGTTTGGCGCAAAAAAAAACACTGCACACCACCAAAAGATCACCATACCCACAGTGAAGCATGGTGGTGGCAGCATCATGCTTTGGGACTTTTTTTTTCTGCAGCTGGAATTGGGGCCTTAGTCAAAGTAGAGGGAATTATGAACAGTTCCAGATACCAGTCAATATTGGCACAAAACCTTTAGGCTTTTGCTAGAAAGCTGAACATGAAGAGTAACTTCATCTTTCAGCATGACAACGACCCAAAGCATACATCCAAATCAACAAACGAATGGCTTCACCAGAAGAAGATTAAAGTTTTGGAAAGGCCCATCCAGAGCCCAGACCTGAATCCAATCAATCTGTGGGGTGATCTGAAGAGGGCTGTGCACAGGAGATGCCCTCGCAATCTGACAGATTTTGATTGTTTTTGCAAGAAAGAGTGGGCAAATATTGCCAAGATGTGCCATGCTGATAGACTCAGACTCATACCCCAAAAGACTGAGTGCTGTAATAAAATCAAAAGGTGCTTCAATAAAGTATTAGTTTAAGGGTGTGCACACTTATGCAACCATATTATTTTAGTTTTTTATTTTTACTTCCCTCAGCCTAAAAGATTTCATGTTGTTGTTCAACTGAGTTGTACAGTTTATAGGTTACATTAAAGGTGGAAAAAGTTCTGAAATGATTTATCTTTGTCTCATTTGTTTACATCATAGAAACCTGACATTTTAACAGGGGTGTATAGACTTTTTATATCCACTGTAAGCCTTTCCAAGGAAGACATCTGTTTGGTGAGGCACTTGACCAATTCATTAGAGGTCCTAGATGGGAGGTTTTACTTCCACAGTGTAAGGTGCCAAAAACCCTCTTCTCTGGAGCCCCTAGCTCTTCAAAATACAGAGCACCTGTCTATTCTTATCAAGCTTCAACTTCCAAACCTAAGTCCAGGCTTTCATTTCAGTGCAAGACTTGGTGTTCAAAACTCTACCCTGTGACCGTTTTTTTTCTCTTAAAACAACTAAAAATTGCACAAGGACAATCAGATGTGCAGAATACACTCAACCATCGCTTGTCCCAGGGAGTAGTAGTTCCAGTACCTCCCCAAGACAGGTTCAAAGGCTTCTACCCAAGCCTATTCATGGTACCAGCATCCAAAATCCTTCAAGTTCCAAAAGTTTACATAGAATCAGCAGGATCAGTAATTGCCTCTCTGAGACAAGAGAAATACATGGACATCCAAGATGTCTGCATGTTCCCATTTGCCCACCTCATCAGTGCTTTCTGAGCTTTGTAATGGCAGACGTCTAAATCAGAAAATAGCCAATTCAGATGCTCCAGGCTTTTGGCTGGGTAATCAATTTCAACAAATCTGCTCTCCAGCAGTCCCTTCATCTGGAATACTTGGGTCCTGAACACATCCCAAGCAAAAGTCTTTCTCCCAGAAATGAACTTTCTCTAAGAGCACATATTTGAGAACTAAGATCCAAGAAACATCCCACAATGAGATTGTCCATGAGAGTTTTAACCACTTCCGCCCTAAGCCTATTCTGACACGCTCCTCTGATGTGTTTTGCCCTGCGTGGGGGCTTAACCATAGAGGTGAGAGCAACTGAGATGGAAGGCTTTTAAACATCATTA